TATATATATACACACACACATATATATATATATATACACACACATATATATATACACACATATATATATATATATACACACATATATATATATATGCAAGCAAGCACAAAAAAATGCCAGCACTTCAGCATTAGGCCACGGTGTTGTCATTATTGTTTTTAAATCTTTAAAATAGGTCCAACCGCTACTCCGGTCCGAGAAATTGCAAATGGCAGATCAGTGTTTTGAAAAGTTTCTGAAAGATCCAGTGACTCCTCCCCCTGACCAATCAGTGACCGACAGTGCGCTGACGTCACATCTGGACCAAACAAGAACCAGACCTGGGACCCCAGAGAAGTAGGTCCCAAAAATCGTGCGGGTTCCACCGCTGAAGGCGCTGTGGAGACACTACGCAATCGGCCCGAACTAGTTACATAGGAGCACCAAAAGGCCCTGTGGATAAGGGGCTTTTGAGGCTCAATGGGAACCAACCTGTATAAATAAATGCTTAAATGGACTTTACTTATATAGTGCCTTTATATCTTATTTCAAGATACTCAAAGTGCTTTACACTACAATTTGTGTCCTCATTTACCCATCCATATAGCACTCTACTAGATCTCTACAAAGCTAATTGAACAAATCATTCTAATGAGACTAATCAGTGCTTTACATCACATTCATACACTGATGGGACACGCATCGGAAGCTATGAGGGGTTCAGCGTCTTGCCCATGGACACTTCAGCATGTGACTGCTGGTGGATTCGAACTCCCAACTCTCGCATTGGAGGACGACTGCTCTAACCGCTCAGCCACAGCCGCCCCTTAATAAAAAACTAGCATGAGGTCCAACAGTTTGCGGCTGGTTCCGACACCTGTGTTGTATTCTACCTGGACAGAACTTGTCCGTTGAGTACTGACCTGGGGAGGGCAGTTCTATCAGGTTCCTCGTTGATCTTCACACACTTTGCGGGCCTCAGCTCAGACTCTGTTTCTGAAACTGTGCAGAAAGAAGGAAGTGGCAGATTTAACTTTCTTCTGTAGGAAACACAACACAGACAGGATCTCAGGTCAGTCGACACACCTTGGTTAGAACTCTTGGGACCCGTCCCATCCACAGTGCCAATCATCTCCTCACAGTTGCTTCTTTCTGAGATGTTATCAGGAAGCTTTATTTTACATTTCCTCTGAACAGGTTTCTCCATCTCTGCACACAGAAATCAGAAGCATCAGTGTTACAGAACCCAGACACACCAGGAAGACATCACTAACAGGTTGGTGGTTCAGGTACCTTTGGGTTCATATTTCTGCTCAAGGTCCTCTACATGCAGCTGCAACTTGAACTTGTCACTCTGAGCCTGGAGAAACAGAAAAATCTAATCACAATACGTCTACATCTACTCTGCACACAAGATCTGAGACAGCGAGATTCTGTTCAGTCCAGAACATCCACAGAACCAGAGCTAAAACCAGCCCACTCTGAAGATTCAAAACGTCTCTTATTAGGAGCCAAATGAGAAAAAACAGAAAATTTGAGTGTGCATGTGTGTTCAACCCCATCAGTGGATTCTTTGTGTCAGCAGATCCAGCATCAGGTCTCTTCAGGTCTGACTTCATCATCTTGGTTAATCACATCTCTATGATCCTGGTCCATCTAGCCTGGATCTTTTGGCTGTTCTTCATGAACTCCTCCAGCTCCTTCATGTTGGACAGGTGTTCGTGTCTAACAGTCTTTAAATCAAAAATTCTGTTAGACTGAGGTCTGGACTTTGACTGGACCAGGACCTGGAACTCAGGGCTCCCAGCATTTAATGAAAACAAAATTGACCTTGATGTTCCAGGAGATGTTTCAGTCACACCAAACGCTCAGATTTTAGCATCTTCAGTGTCAGAAAAATAATTTAGTGTAGCAGCGAGTGACTGAACGTTCAGAGTTATGAGAGTGGGTCTTCCCTTCTTCTCTTATAACCATCCTCTCCACACCAGTATTATTTCATGATAATTATAGTAATACACACATTGGATATATAAGTTAGCTTGGAGAGTACTTGATTATTGGTGGTACTCTTTCAAGACATGGTCCACTGTACTGTAGTGTATACTGAGCTAGAGTACTCATTACTGGAACCACCACAGCCAGTCTGTAAGAATACATGTACAGTGCTCACTAGAGATGTACCGATACTATCAAAAAAAGTTAAATTTGGTCCTCTGGACATTCAAAAAACAAAACAAAAAAACAAACAAAAAAAAGGTAGAAACGTTTCGTCTTTCATCCGAAAGACTTCCTCAGTCTGAGGTGCTGTATTCAGCTCAGTCTTATAAATAGCACCTTGTCGTACTGGATCAACCAGTTTGCTGCTGACAACCAAAACCAGCTGCTCACATGATCAAGGAGGACCATCAGCCTAACGATGTATCGTTAGCACCCTGATGGCAGTTTGCTATTCACAGAGGGCTGAGTGATACTAGCAATAACAGCATTGTAAGAGGGGGACAGTTGAACATGGAGGCCTCTGCACCATGTTTAATGATGGACAGTTTCTTTTCACAAAGATGGCCTCCTTTACTCCTCTCTCTAACAATCGTTCCTCTCTACCCAGGATGTGAACATCTTCATCCCTGAAAGAGTGACCGCTGGCCTGGAGATGAGTTTAGACCGCAGAGTCCTGGCCTGATGTTGTTTATCTTCTGTGCGGGGCCACCCTTTTGGCCAGTGGCTGTTTAGTTTCCCCGATGTAAGACTGATCACAGCCCTCCTGGCACTGCACAGTATACACAATATTACTTTGTTTGTGCTGGGGGACTGGATCTTTGGGATGAACCAGTCTTTGCTGTAATGTATTTTGGGTTAAAAGTCACTGGGACGTTGTGTTTAGAAAATAAACGGTTCAGTTTATCTGATGCTCCCGCAACATACGGAATCTGGGTTCCTCCTTTTCTTCACTTGATGGCTGACTGGAGTCCTGTTTGGGTTTCTTTTCTACTTTCAGGAAGGCCCAGTTAGGCTATCCACATTCCTCTAGAGCCTGTCTTGTGTGGGATTTATCCTTCTGCCTGGCTCCTGAGTTAGTAGGGACACTGTCTGCTCTGTGGTACAGAGTCCAGATGACTCCCAACTTGTGCTCCAAAGGGTGATGGGAGTCAAAATGCAAACACTGGGCTGTGTGGGCGGGTTTGCAGTACAGGTCCTTCTAAAAAAATTAGCATATTGTGATAAAGGTCATTATTTTCCATAATGTAATGATAAAACTTAAATTTTCATATATTTCAGATTCATTGCACACCAACTGAAATATTTCAGGTCTTTAATTGTTTTAATACTGATGATTATGGCATACAGCTCATGAAAACCCAAAATTCCTGTCCCAAAAAAATTAGCATATTTCATCCTTCCAATGAAAGACAAGTTTCAGTTATGCACTCAATACTTGGTCGGGAATCCTTTTGCATGAATGACTGCTTAAGTGAGGCGTGGCATGGAGGCAATCAGCCTGTGGCACTGCTGAAGTGTTATGGAGGCCCAGGATGCTTCGATAGCGGCCTTAAGCTCATCCAGAGTGTAGGGTCTTGCGTCTCTCAACTTTCTCTTCACAATATCCCACAGGTTCTCTATGGGGTTCAGGTCAGGAGAGTTGGCAGGCCAATTGAGCACAGTAATACCATGGTCGGTAAACCATTTACCAGTGGTTTTGGCACTGTGAGCAGGTGCCAGGTCGTGCTGAAAAATGAAATCTTCATCTCCATAAAGCTTTTCAGCAGATGGAAGCAAGAAGTGCTCCAAAATCTTTTGATAGCTAGCTGCATTGACCCTGCCCTTGATAAAACACAGTGGACCAACACCAGTAGCTGACATGGCACCCCAGACCATCACTGACTGTGGGTGCTTCACACTGGACTTCTGGCATTTTGGCATTTCCTTCTCCCCAATCTTCCTCCAGACTCTGGCACCTTGATTTCTGAATGACATGCAAAATTTGCATGCAGACTTCCCACTGAGGTGCCTTGATACAGCACTTTGGGACCAGCCTATTCGTTTAGCAATTTCTTTCTGTGTCCTACCCTCTTGCTTGAGGGTGTCAATAATAGCCTTTTGGACAGCAGTCAGGTCGGCAGTCTTACCCATGATTGCGGTTTTGAGTAATGAACAAGGCTGGGAGTTTTTAAAAGCCTCAGGAATCTTTTGCAGGTGTTTAGAGTTACGTCATTGATGCAGATGGTTAGGTTAATAGCTTGTTTAGAGAACCTTTTCATGGTATGCTAATTTTTTGGGACAGGCATTTTGGGTTTCCATGAGCTGTATGCCATAATCATCAGTATTAAAACAATTAAAGACCTGAAATATTTCAGTTGGTGTGCAATGAATCTGAAATATATAAAAGTTTAATTTTTATCATTACATTATGGAAAATAATTACCTTTATCACAATATGCTAATTTTTTTAGAAGGACCTGTACACCTCAGTTTTCAAATGTCCTCTAACATCACATAGAGAACACCATGGACTTTGTGGATAAGGTGAGGGATGTCATCATGGAGAGTGATGAAAAAATGGTCTCTTTTGATGTCACATCACTCTTTACGTGCATTCCTGTTGATGATGCAGTAGAGGTGGTCAGTTTAAGGTTAAAATAAGACACCACTCTGAGCAGCAGGACCACACTTTCCACAGAGCAAATGTGTCAACTCCTGAAACTGTGTCTGCAGTCAGCCTACTTCAAATATGGGGGCCAAGACTATAGGCAGAAACATGGGTGTGCTATGGGGTCTCCAGTTTCTCCTATTGTTGCCAACCTGTACATGGAGGAGGTAGAAAAAAGAGCCTTGACCTCCTTTTCAGGGACACCACCAAGTCATTGGTTCAGGTATGTTGACGACAACTGGGTTAAAATTAAATCTGAGGAAGTCCAACATTTCACTGATCACATCAACTCTGTGGATAAATGCAAGTTCACACGAGAAGATGTAAAACATGACAGGTTGGCTTTCTTGAACTGTGAGGTCTCAGTTTCTGATAGAGGACATTTGCAAACTGAGGTGTACCGCAAACCCACCCACACAGACCAATATTTGCAGTTTGACTCCCATCACCCTTTGGAGCACAAGTTGGGAGTCATCAGGACTCTGTACCACAAGGCAGACAGTGTGCCCACTAACTCAGGAGCCAGGCAGAAGGAGAAATCCCACACAAGACAGGCTCTAAAGCAATGTGGATAGCCCAACTGGGCCTTCCTGAAAGCAGAGAAGAAACCCAAACAAGACTCCAGTCAGCCATCAGGTGAAGAAAAGAAGGAACCCAGATTCCGTATGTTGCGGGAGCATCAGAGAAACCGAGACGTTTATTTTCTAAACACAACGTCCCAGTGGCTTTTAAACCCCAAAATACATTACGGCAAAGACTGGTTCATCCCAAAGATCCAGTCCCCCAGCACAAAAAAAGTAATATTGTGTATGCTGTTCAGTGCCAGGAGGGCTATGATCAGTCTTACATCGGGGAAACTAAACAGCGACTGGCCAAAAGGATGGCCCAGCACAGAAGATAAACATCAGGCCAGGACTCTGCGGTCTAAACTCATCTCCAGGCCAGCGGTCACTCTTTCAGGGATGAAGATGTTCACATCCTGGGTAGAGAGGAACGATTGTTTGAGAGAGGAGTAAAGGAGGCCATCTTTGTGAAAAGAAATTTTCCATCATTAAACAGGGGTGGAGGCCTCCGTGTTCAACTGTCCCCCTCTTACAATTCTGTGATTGCTAGTATAACTCAGCCCTCTGTGAATAGCAAACAGCCATCAGGGTGCTAACAATCCATCGTTAGGCTGATAGTCCTCCTTGATCATGTGAGCAGCTGGTTTTGGCTGTCAGGAGCAAACTGGTTGATCCAGTACGACAAGGTGCTATTTATAAGACTGAGCTGAATACAGCACCTCAGACTGAAGAAGTCTTTCGGATGAAAGACGAAACGTTTCTACATTTTTTTGTTGTTTTGCTTTGTTTTGTTTTTTGAATGTCCAGAGGACCAGATTTAACTTTTTTAGATGTAGTGTTAGTACTTTATCTAACATCAGTTATAGAGCACAGAGTTTGGAGAAAGAGGCAAAACTCTTCAACCAGGCTTGGCTAAGAGCTGGCCAAGCGAGTGCCCGTTTTTTATTTTCAGAGATTCGACTTTTATCTAAAGACATTCTGGTCCATGTTACTCCACTAATATATGAGTGGAACTTGGACTGACTGGTTCCCCTGATGGAGGCAATTCATCAGAGCTGGGTCAACTTTTGGATCATGTACTGGTCAGCTGGGACTGATCCATTCAGTACCATTTTCATAGGTTTATGCTCTGCACACATTGAAGGGGCCTCACAGGAGAGGGGCTCAATACATATCCTTGACGTTTCCAAGCCAAGATGGCGCCGGTGTGTAGGGCTGCCCGTCTCTCGCTCTCTGCTTGTATTTTATTTTTGTTACTTTTACAATGGTTTGTGCAGTGTGCCGAGTCATATTTTCAGTATGATCGTCGGGCACTTTTGGAGCTCCGTACATTTGCTGAAATTCCCGCGGAGTTTTTGAACAGCGACCAGCACTCTCCTCCACCGGTCCTATCTGAGATTCCTGCGTTCCTTCTGCGTGACCCTGGCCTTTCTCCATGGAGGAAACGTCGCAGACGTCGTGGGAAGCGTGCAGGGATTTTGGTGAAACTGAGGCAAAGTGTGGATTATTCTAACAGGACTCGCTCTGGATCTGATCATCTCCTCTCTGACCCGTGGTGCTCCCGGGGCCCGGCTGCTGGCCAGCTGCCCGCGCGCTCAGTCCATGGAAACACCTGGAGTTGTTTACCTGTGCGCCGCACCAGCAGACCAGGAGGAGCTGTTCTTCATAACCTGCGCCCGCTGGCGCGCGCGTCTCCCTCCACAGCTGTGCCGGTGTCGGACAATATCAGGATGTGTTTAATCAACGCAAGGTCTGTTTCCAACAAGACGTTTATCCTCAATGACTTTTTTAAAGATGAGGAGTTGGATTTTCTGTTAGTCACAGAATCTTGGATTTCTGATGGTGAGTCCAGCGCCTTGGTGGAACTTCTTCCTCCGGACTGTGTATGTTTCAATGCCCCGCGGCCATCAGGTCGGCGCGGGGGGGGGGATTATTAACAGTTTTTAAAGCAAACTTTGCGTGTAAACAATTGTCCATCCCGGTGTCCCGCGCCAGCTTCGAGCTGAGCACCTTTGAACTTGGACACTCTCCTCCGGTCCTGTGTGCGCTCATCTACCGCCCACCTCATTCTAAGGACTTCATAAATGAATTCTCTGACATTTTGGCTGATATCACACAGAGATACACTCACTTTTTGCTTATTGGTGACTTTAATTTGCATGTGTGTTGTCAGGAGAAGCCCTTAGTGAAGGACTTTCTAGATTTATTGGACTCTTTTAATCTAACTCAGCAGGTGAGCGGCCCCACCCAAGAACACGGTCACACGCTGGACCTCGTTTTAACACGCGATGTCTCTGTTTCTAATTTGAAAATCGGTGACAATGTTTTTTCAGATCACATGCCTGTATTGTTTGACTTCACCCCCCCCTTGTCATACTGCTAAGACGTGCGTTCCTGCATGTACGCGTTCCATTAACCATTTCACTGCTGCTCGTTTTAATGAAGGTTTTAATTCTGAGAGGATCGAACAGTTCCCGGTGTCTCTTACCACTGAGGAGCTAACCTCTCAGTTCAACTCTGCCTGTTTAAATGTTCTGGACCGTGTTGCTCCCCTTAAGACCAGAAAAACAAAACTTAAATCAAAGCATTGGCTGAATGACGTCACGCAAGCCGTTAGGCGGCAGTGTCGCAGAGCTGAACGAAAGTGGAGGAAGGATAGGCTCCAGGTGTCTTTTCAAATGTTAAGGGAGAGTTGGCGTCACTATCAGAAAACCGTTAAAGTTGCCAAATGTAAATTCTTTTCTGATTTAATTGTCTCCAACTCCCACAACCCCCGAGTTCTTTTCTCCACCCTGAACTCAGTTCTACACCTCAGTGAGCCTTCACCTCTGGAAGCCTCAACTGAGCTGTGTGAGAACTTCCTCCATTTCTTTTTAGAAAAAGTGGCAAACACCCGGGCACTCATTTCTCCACCAGCTCATGATCTGTCCATCCCTTCTCAGTGTGTGGCTGTGTTTGACCACTTTGAGCCCATCTCTCTGTCCTCTCTGGAGCAGGTAATGTGCAGCATGAAGCCATCTGGTTCCCCCTTTGATGTGGTCCCCCCTCGACTGCTAAAGGAAGTTTTTCCTACCCTGGGTCCTTTTATCCTCGCTATTCTGAATAGCAGTTTATCCTCAGGTGTGGTGCCAAAGACTTTTAAACATGCTGCTCTCCAGCCCCTCCTGAAAAAACCTAACCTTGACCCCTCAGTCATGTCCAACTTCCGGCCTGTCTCCAGACTCCCATTCACCTCTAAACTACTGGAAAAAATTGTGGAGTCTCAGTTGAAACAGTTTTTGGGGGATCACGCTATCCTTGAGTTATTCCAATCTGGCTTCAAATCTCTCCATAGCACTGAAACTGCTCTACTGAAGGTTTTTAATGACATTTTCATATCCACAGACGCAAGTGATTCTGTGCTGCTTGTCCTATTGGACCTTACATCTGCTTTTGACACCATCGACCACAATATCCTCATTTCTAGACTGGAGCAGTGGGTGGGCATCACAGGGTCAGCCCTTAAATGGTTTGGGTCCTACCTCTCTGACAGAACCTTCTGTGTCAATATCAAAGATTTTAGTTCGGCATCGACCGCACTCCAGTGGGGGGTACCGCAGGGGTCCATCCTCGGTCCCCTTCTCTTTTCTTTATACCTGCTGCCACTAGGTGCTATCTTCCGCAAACACGACATACCCTTTCATTTCTATGCCGATGATTGCCAAATTTACTTCCCCCTGAGGCACAGAGGCACACGCTCTATTCAGCCTCTTCTTGACTGCCTGGCTGACATCCGGGACTGGATGGCTTTAAACTTCTTAAGCTTCAATGAGAAGAAGTCTGAAGTCATGCTGTTCCATCCCAGTGGCTCACTCATGAACCATGACATTGACCTTTTCTCTCTAGCCCCGCTAGAGAAACAAAAGGTGACTTATCTGGGGGTGATAATGGACCCGTCCTTAAAACTCAACAGTCACGTAAACATGATGGTCAAATCCTGTTTTTTTCAGCTGAGACGGCTGTCTAAGCTGAAGCCTATACTCTCCAAAAAGAACCTCGAGACAGTGATCCACGCCTTCATAACATCTAGGCTTGATTACTGCAATTCACTTCTGTTTGGAATCAGTCAGTCCTCCATTGCTCGTCTACAACTGGTCCAAAATGCTGCAGCCCGATTTTTAACTGGTACAGGCTATAGAGAGCACATCACGCCAGTTTTGGCCTCCCTGCACTGGCTACCCATTCACCTTCGGATCCATTTCAAAATTCTCATGTATGTTTTTAAATCACTGAACAGTTCCACCCCATCCTATCTCACTGATCTTCTGCAGCCATATGTCCCACCGCGCTCTCTGAGGTCAGCAGACCAGATGCTTCTCTCAGTCCCAGAAACCCATCATAAGCTCAGGGGTGACAGGGCTTTCTCTGTTGCAGGTCCACTACTGTGGAATGAGTTGCCACTGAGTGTCCGGCAGGCTCCCACACTCTCAGTCTTTAAGTCTCGCTTGAAGACCCACTTCTATTCGCTTGCCTTTAACACGTTGTGATTTGTTTTGGTCCGGTCTGTTCTCTACTCTGTTGGCCATTTTAGTTAGCTTCTGCTGCTATTTGTACCTGTATTTCTATTTTATGTTTTCCTGTCTGCTGTGCATGTTTGGTTCTTTTGTACAGCACTTTGGTTGGCCTTGTTGCTGTTTTAAGTGCTATATAAATAAATTGGTATGGTATGGTATGGTATATCCATGCACCATTTTACAATTTCAGATTTTTATATAAAAAATAAATTCTTTGTCTTATTCTGGTGTGAGTAAGATTCTTACTTTAATTCAAACAAAATCGTTTAAATTCCAGATTCAACCAAGGTGTTGAATATTTCTGCTGCAGACCACAGCAGAACCTAGTGTTCAGTGAAGCAGACCCAGTTGTGGTCCTGAAACCAGACACTGGAGGTCAGTTCTTGAAAAGAGCCCAAGTTTAAAATGAGCAATAACCGGTTGTTCCCGTTTGGATGTGCAGCAGCACACAGGCGTCGTTTCATTCATTCAACCTTTATTTATGCAGGCTAGTCTCATTGAGCCATGAGAACTCGTTTACAAGAGAGACCTGTTCCAGACAGAACATATAAAGAACAGACAATAACAAACAAAATGTTCATGTTTTACTAAATTAAATATGGTAAATAATCTGGAAATATAAAAAACTTTCATTGTTCTTTTCCCGCTCCTGTCCAGAGCTGGAAGACAGTGTTTCAGGGTGTGTGGGAACACTCTCCCAGCGTTTATAGGCAGAAGGAAGGATCTCTGCGTTTCTTCAGCGTTTCTGAACCTGAACCAGTACTCGTTTATGGTGCTGTGAGAGACAAACAGATGGCAGTGTCTTACCTGTTTCAGTAGGCACTCGGATTTAAAGAGTTTCCGTTCCAGGGCCAGAGCTCTCTGACTCTCTGACAGAGACTTCATCCTCTGCAGGGACAGCTCATCTGACAAACGCTCCACAGCCTTACTGCCAACGCAAACAAACACACACACACACACAAACACACACACACACACACACACACACACGTTTTCATCTATTCAGAGGACACTGAGCTACACTACATTATGTATTCTATGTTGTTGAACCTCCTGTGAACATCAAATGGCCTGATCATAAACTCACACCACCTAGAGCTGGGTGATAGATATTTTAAAAATAGAGATAATTTCAAACATGATATAAAATGAGACTATATCGATATAAAACAATATCGTCTTATACTCTACATAAAGTTATAAATCTGCCAGTTTTTCTCCCAGTCTGCAGCCTTCACGCCACCCCTCCGCTCTCCCTCACTGAATAAACCCGCTCCTGCCCGGCTGCTTGCTCCAGCTGAAAAAGCTCAACTTAGATATGCAGATATGTCTCTGTTGACTCACAGTGGGAGAACCACTTTAAATTCCTGATAGATGTGAAAAATCACGATAGCTCCTACAAAGGAGAGGTTTGGTGTTCTCCAGGAAATGAATTGGTTTAGAGTGGCACGGTATGAAGTTTTCTCATTAAAAAAATATGGAGACAAATATTATTAACTTTTATTTAACCAGGCTCTCATCGAGGTGGCAGCTTCTGTTTTTTTCCTCCCTTGTTTTTCCTTCTTCCTGCACTGCTCTCTGTGTATCTGAAGTGCCTGGGTCTCATCTCTCGAACATAAATTAAGAAGATTATGGATTTGGTATCGTGGGTGTTCAACTCTATTGATAAGATTTTTTCATCAAAGCGACAAGGTCCTGGAGAACCAGTGTGTCCAGCTGAGACTCACGCTGTGGGGTACGTCATGGATTCGTGGAGAGTGTGGCAGATGATGTGTCTCTCAGTCCTGTCTCAGGAGGATGTTGAAGACATTTATATATTTGGAATTATGATAGCAGGGACTCTGCTTTTTGGCATCGGCGGGGCTCTGTTTTATCGACTTTTGAAGCAGACGGCAGCAGCAGTTTCAACCATGAGTTTCGATACAAAAAGGGGATGACCGTAGATGTGTTCCAACTACAGGGGAATCACGCTCTTAAGCCTCCCTGGTAAGGTTTATTCGGGGGTTCTGGAGAGGAGAGTCCGTCGGATAGTCGAACCTCGGATTCAGGAGGAGCAGTGCGGTTTTCGTCCTGGCCGTGGAACATTGGACCAGCTCTACACTATCAGCAGGGTCCTGGAGGGTGCATGGGAGTTTGCCCAACCGGTCTACATGTGCTTTGTGGACTTGGAGAAGGCGTTCGACCGCGTCCCTCGGGAAACCATGTGGGGGGTACTCTGGGAGTATGGGGTACCGGGCCCTTTGATACGGGCTGTTAGGTCCCTGTATGACCGGCAGCCAAGGTGTTGAGGGGATCCGTTTTGGTGGCCTTAGGATTGCGTCTCTGCTTTTTGCAGATGATGTGGTCCTATTGGCTTCATCAGATCGTGATCTACAGTTTTCGCTGGAGAGGTTCGCAGCCGAATGCGATGCGGCTGGGATGAAGATCAGTTCCTC